AATAATAATAATAATAATAATAATAATAATAATAATAATAATAATAATAATAATAATAAAAGCGATAATAATAACAACAGAAAGCCCTAATAGATATAGTTTTTTTCTTATAACAATTTTATCGTTTCGGAAGATATTGACCATATAATCATTCTGCGCTTGGAGCAAGACAATGTGCAAATTATATCAGATATGTGAGATATTATTACTTAAATATGTTGGTGCGCCTTGTTTGGGAAAAGACCCTTACCATTATCCTGCCCGCAACATTTTCAGTTACATAAGTCAAAATACTTTTATAAATGAAAACAATAACGAACATGGCAAACATGTTTAATTACATAATAATGCACTGCTAGGAAGGTGTACTTCATTGTTTACATTGGTTACATTTACTGCCAATTTCAATTGAAGTAACTTTACCCATTCAATTCTTGTACTTCATCATAACTGACTAAAGTATCCTTGGCAAGGTTGAGGAACGAAGATGAGCAAGTTTCAAATATTGTTATATTTTGGATTGACATTGAGCAACAAACTCGCGTTCATTGGAAATAAATAATACTAGAGAGTATGCTGCTTCCGTATCATTCATTATTTATTTACGGGCATTTCGTCTCTTCTTCTATCTTCCAAAGTCTCCAAAGAGCTTAAACATCTGTTTTTGTTTTTGTATACGTTTATCTGAAAGAAAAAATAATTTAAAAAAAGAATTTGAAATAATACGTGTATACATACATAATTTTAGGGCCTTATAGTCCTTATTTTTATTTTGTTCATAATACAGCAGATAAATTCAACATGCATATAGTTAGATTTTTATCTTCGTGGTTTCAATCAAGATCTTGTGTTAATTCATAACATATGCCATATGAAAGAGGTAATCCCGCAATGAGTAAGAAAATAGTGTATATAACACTGTATACACTAATATACATAATAGGAAACTAGTTTCGGGGAACTTTCCCCATCTTCAGTGGCGCAAGCAACTGAATTACCAAAACATATCAAAACATTAACAAAAGTAAAATTAGTACAATGGATTTTTCATTTAAATTATGGATTTCAGTGGAGATAACACATTTACAAAGAAATCACCATCATAAAAACTAGAGCCAGTGATAAATAATACGATCAAAAATTGATGGACAAACTTGATTCATCTAAAGAAAAGAGTATACTATTAAAACAGATTATTCCAAAGTTTTTTTTAAGAAAACAAAATATACTTCCTTTGTATCTCCTATATTGGTACTGTGTCACAACGTTTAGGCCAACAACACAAAGAACAAGATAATATTCAAATAAGTTACAATATAATAAGAAATTGTCAACATTACTTTTTCAAACCGAAGACCCTATAAAAACCAAGGAAATATCACATTTGCCTCACATCATTTGAATGTAACCACTCTTTTGACCCCAACAAACATTTTCAAATTTTACACATTCAAAATAAAGGATTTAAATTATATATTTTAGAAAATTTAGAAATTACAAAATTACTAAAAAATCCTTTGATGACGTGCCTAAATGAACAAACAGATGTAAAATGCAGCATTCACAAGAAATTATTTACTTTCTCTCCCTCCCACCCCCCACCCCAGTCTAACAAAAAACTGGCTTCTCCATTTAATATGGTACTTGCATTCTCATAACCACAATATGCACATATATCGTTACTTGAGTAAGTATTATCTCCACTAAAATCAATCATTTAATTTTTTTAAAAAAAACAACACATTGTACTAGTTATACTTTTGTTAATGTTTTAGATATGTTTTGGTATCAAAGTTGTTTGTACCATTGAAGATGGGGAACGTTCCCCGAAACAAGTTTGCTATTATGTATATTAGTGTAAGCTCTCTAGGCATCAAATTCGCCTGGATAGATGGGTGAAACAAATTTTGGAGGAAATCGGGTGGATTTTCTGTTCAAATTTTTAACATATTACAATATTATTCGAATACAAAGTGTTGGGTTTTATTATTATTATTATTATTATTATTATTATTATTATTATTATTATTATTATTATATGCCAATAGTTTCTGTTTTTTATCACTCTCAAGGAACACGTAAAACTCAAGAAACCGCTCCCGAGACTATCAGACCATAAAGAGAGAGACTGCAGCGCATTCTCTCGGAGAGCCGAGATCTAACGTCTTGTGGAATACACTCGCTACGTCACCTCTGTGATTGGCTGCTGCCACAGTCAATTTCGCCGCAGCCATGTTTCGCTATATAAGCAAGACGCAGTGTATTTCATTGAATCGAAGTAATATGTTGGTGGAGTCGTGAGGCGTGTGGAATGTCTAACTGTACTTAAAGAAGTGTCAAATAGAGAAGGTATGATGTTATACGAGTTGTATGTTAATTCTTTCAAATCACTGCACGAGTTTTGAAGCGTTTTCCAGTGGTTCAATGTGATCTCTTGATAAGAAATTTAATACAAATGCGTATATCAACTGCAATATTTTTGTTTTTATTTAAATTTGTAGTTTAACACTAAAAATTCTCAGTGGAAATTAGAATTATCGCTTTAATATATTAATAAAATATTGTGCCGATGTGGTGGAAAAACAGATTTTGCTGATTTTTACCCGGGATTGCTTCAGACTAGTTAGCAAAACCGTCAAGGTTAAATTTCGTTAATGTATGTAAATTCACCATAAATACGTTTCTATTAAAACGTGAATGGCTAGAATATATGGGACATAAATAGCTAAAGGTAATTTATTTTAGGTACCGGCGTTCTAAAGGACTTTTTGAACTTGTCCAAAATAAGATTGAGTAAGGCTTTTTATTTATGCACATTCCTTCTTGTAAGGATAAATTAAAATTAACTATATGCAACTTGCTAGCTAATTACTAATATTAGTGCTGCTAAGAAAGAGTAACGACAGCGCATACCTAGATATATTTCAATTTCTCTTTTAAGTAGTTTCTCCTTTAAGTGGTTCCAACGACTTGGTAAACTATAGTTTTCCAAACAAGATCTAGTTTCTACGTGACTTGTTGGAAGTATATATTCTAATTTGTTTTTTTACCATGTGCTCTTCTTCGCAGGATGTCATTTATTTCGGAGCTACGTCGTCTTCTCGAATGTCCGGTGTGTTTGACGACCGTACGCACCGACGTGGCAACGTGCTCCAACGGCCACATGGTCTGTGACCTGTGTCTGCCGAATTTACGAGAATGTCCACTATGCCGAACAAAAATCTTCGGCTTTCCGTGCATTCCGTTGCGGGATATTTGCAGGCTACTCCCCCCAGCACCTTCGCCTGCCCTTACGCCTCGTGTTGGCAACGCTATCGGCAATGTCTCTACATCAAGAACGCCCACTGATCGTTCATCAGCTGTTCCATCTGCATTAGATTTTCTCAGAGAAATCGTAGATTTGACCTCCATGGGATTTAATTTGTATCAACCTTCTACATCACCGGTACAACAATCTCAGGCGGACAATCGCTCCCAAGGGCGACGCTTCACGGGTCGCGCAGAGCACGTCAACCCGAGAGTACCAGTGCGCTCCACTCCACCAGGCAACAACGCAAGGCCAGTTGTTAATGTTCAACAGGCACCACCTTGCTTGTACGGCTCGAGATGCACAAACCGCTGCCGGCACGTGTGTAGTAATCACCGCGTTCACGTTCTGAGAAATAATATTATTCAACACTAAAACTAATTTCCCGATGTTTTTTTTTTTATTTTTCCAATTCTTAAGATATGGAGGGGCATATAATGTCCATGAAATCGTCCAAAAATATCAAAACAAAAACAAAAAACAAACCAAAAAAAGGGATGAAAAGAAATATTATTAAACGAATATAGCAATTACATCTTGATACAATTAATCGATTTTGTTCACATTTCAAGTCTGGCTTTTGCCAATTTACAAATTTGACATTTTAATTGATTAAAATTTTTATATTTATGATTCTTTAAATATCAACGCGATTTTAATAATCTAACATGGTTTACATAAGTTTTTCCATTTTAATTTTTTTTACTAAAATGTTAATTACTTCGTACCTTTCCCAATATTGATAATAAAGTTTAGTTAAAACAATGTCGTTTCCTACATTTCATATTTCCTTGCCAAAATTCTTTTTCATTAGTCTTGATTTTTCTTAATCCTGGAACCAGTGTTAGTTACCACATGCTGAAGGTCTAGGAAAGGAATAAATTTTTTGAAGCGAACTTATTTTATAACATGTAATGTCCAAAGCAAGGTGATAACAGTAAGTATGAGTGTGGAGTCTCCTTGCATTCATTTTTATTCTGGCCTATTATTTTGAAAATTTTAGTTACAAAACTCTTAGAACAAAAGCCTCGTGTACTTTAAGTTGCTCAATGAATAGTTTATTGTCTCTATTGCCACGCCCACATTTTATAACTCTAATTTAATACTTAATAACTAACCTAAAACTAAAATGGTTAGTGTCGTAATCGTGGAGGCGACTAGGAGCCGGAATTTTTTGTCTCAAGAGCTAATCGCCAGTTACTTCCCGAGGTACATAATATTTCATTTTTACCTAATTTGAATTAAGATTTACTAAATGTCTGGCTTTCTTTTAATATTTAGGCTCAAATCGTGCTGTGTATGGGGAGAATTTAACTTGGAAGATACATTTATGTAACCACGCATTTTCTCAATCCAGGAAAGTTATGCTGTATATATATATATATATATATATATATATATACGTGTCAAATGCAATAACAAACAAGTTTTATGATGGAAAGTCATGAACGAGCATGCATCGTATCCGACTTAGCCAATGAGCTTCAGGCACCAGTTGGCGACATAGAGGGAATTTGAAATACAGCCACTTACGAAAATTATAACCTCATTACAAGACGGTAACAAATATGAAGCACTTTTCTCGTTGCATTTTTAATTTCAATTATACCTTACTTTTTGTTGAAAAATGTAATCTTATGCCACTTTCAACATGTTTCACAAAACTTGTTCTCCATGCTCTGCCAGTGCCTCGTCTGGCTTCTGAACCGAAGTGTCACGTGGTTCGTGACGTAACAGGTGCTGCTCTGAACGAGCAAAAATCGGTGCGTCGGACTAGCTCACTCATATTTCCATCATGAATAGTATATCAGTAAAAATAGTTTTATAATATTAGTTTTACACTGACAAGACATTGCTCAGCAAGTCTCTTATAGTAGCAAAATTGCGTGCATTGTCAGTTTCGTTACCTCATTGCGGCAAGGACTGGCAACTTGGTTGCTCTGCTGGCAATGGTGTGAACGCTAGTTTTCAGAAGTTGCCCCAGCGCTTGGTGGGGATAAATTTCATTTTTATTCTGTGGTAAGTGCATGACACATGACATTGAAAATTAAATTAGCTCATCCAGCAAAGGTTGATAGACTTGAATAGTGTAGACCTGTCTTTAAATCATTTGTTTTTTTTATCAATAAATACCTGAAAAAATTATATTTGTAAAAAAGAGAACACCTAAAAATAAAATACAAACATGCAATCAAATCATTAACATACATATTCAAAAACAATCATTCGAAAAGAGTCATACTATATAGGTCAACACCCCTATAATAAGTTCCCAGAAAATTAAAAAAAAACTTTATCATTGTCAAAAAATGAATAAGCAAATAGTTTTTCCTAAAACTTATGATGAATACATGAAGAATAAATAAGATGAATAAAGAATGAATGACTAAAGTCTTATCTATGAACTTTTTAATTTCTAAAAATATATCGCTATCACAAAATGCTAATAAACAATTTAATTTAAAGTTAATTATAATAATACAATATAAGGGAGATCAAAACTGAGAGTCTATCTATTGAGTAATATTTAGTACAGTATATACCCTTGCTTGAAAGACAAATCAATAAATATTTAAAAAAAATATTTTATTAACATCTATGCACTATCACGTTTCGCAACCCAATTGGTCGCACTATCAGGTGTTCTGCCAGTCAGTTTAAAATTGGGAATAACATAAAACAAAGAAAAAAATAAAAATAAATTACAATTGAAATTTTAAATACATTATCAAAGAAAAAACAAGAACTGGGGTTGTAATAAAATATCTAATGGTATACGGTCTTGAATATATAAGAACGAAGGACATGACTTACATGAGACAAAATAGTGTATTTTGGCTCAGGTACGACTATGTATACAGGTTGTCTATGTATACAATAATATAACTTAATGCCAAAGCAGTGACTTGTTATATGCTTTAAAAACAAACATACATATAATATTAAATGCATAATTATGCATTTTGTATGCAGCAATAACATCACATTATACTTAATTATACATTTCACATTATTACTATACAATAGTATTACACAATGCGATGTACAATATAATATATAGTAAACGTAATAATTATTGACTCACATTTAAAATACTAAATATATGAGAGTTTGAAAGTACCAATGAAGTTAATTAGTAATTGTATTTTCAAAGCATTGTAAATCTACATACAATTTATTGAATATGAATTGATAGATAATAGTGCCTTGTCATACTTCGTTCAAAGCAATTCATATTGGCAATATTATTATTAGTATTATTTGTACTACTAGTATTATTATTACCACTAATAATGCTGACAAAAATTATATTTCTTAATAATTTACATCATATTTTCCCCTAAAAACAATAGACTAACAGTAGTAACAAAACAGTATGTCTTACTTGTATCTCTTATTTTCCAAACGAAATTAATATCTTTCAGAATTCTATACAAAAAAAGTTAAGATCCTTGAAAAAGTATGTATCATAATAGCCTCTGATATTCTCCCAAATGTATTTTCCTGAAAGAACTTTACCAGAAAAGAATGTTTTATATTCTAGTATCTTCGTTGCTAACTATACACTCATATATTGTATATTACTATTATGAGCTTTTTGATAGATTAATCGTCAAATACTTCCTCCCCAAAATAATCTATCTGATCTGAATTCGCAGTGCCAATTCCCAAATTCACTAATAACATTGTATCTTGCTGTACTATTTAATATTCGTAATTTAACACGATTTTTATGTAATGTTAACACGCTTATCTGACATAGTTTCAAATGTCTGGTTTAAAACTTCCATCAGATATCACACCAAAATACCAAATTCAATATAAAAATGTCAATATGCTTCCAGACGTTTAAGAGTGTAGTTCGAACACGTTGGTAGAAAATAAAAGAAATAAAACTGATACCAACTGTAACTATATACAAATTTTACTACAGCATGTATGCCAATATAATGCAATATATATATATATATATATATATATATATATATATATATATATATATATATATATATATATAATACGATACATGTAAAAATAAACGGACATGTAATAAACAGACAATAAGGACAGCATGTAAAAATAAACGAATTCTTTCATTTTTAAGGATAATAACGTATCTCAAGATTTCCCCTACTTTGAAAAATTAAAGACATTGTATAGAAAAGTCATAAAGCAGGTCAAATCATGAAACATGATCAGGATATTTTGAACTCAAATAATAAATCAAAAGCAATGTTGAAAGAACCCTTGTAGAAAATGTTGTTTCACAAGATAAGGATACAAATGAGAATGATCCGGCAACAGTTCGGCAATGCGGCTATCTCTTTTCCAGACATTTTTAAAACAGCAAAGATTAAGCCGCTTTTCAAAAACGGTAACAAAAATGAAATCCAAAATTATCGGACAATTTCTCTTTTGTCGGTTTTTCAAAATTATAAGAGAGAATTTTTACGTACAAATGGAATTCTAAGTAAACACGACGCGTTTTCTGATTGCCAACATGGGTTTCGAAAATCAAAATCTACGGAAACAGCCATATTTTCATTTCTTAAAGATGTTGCCTCATCCTTGGATTATTACGAAGCACCTATTGGAATATTGTGAGATCTTTCAAAAGCTTTAGACGTCATTGATCATAACATTTACTTTCAAAATTACCTTCGTATGGAATTCGTGGTATAGTTCTAGATTGGTTATGTTCGTACCTTAAACAACGATCTCAGAAAGTAGAAATATCTTATTGGAATAATGGAACATTATGTACACACCTCTCCGATACTTTGTCAATTGCATGTGGAGTCTGGCAAGGATTGATTTTAGGCCCTATTCTCTTCTTACTATACGTAAACGATATGCCCTCGACGATTAAACACCAACAACATGAGAATGCGGGCGGAAGTGTGAAATTGCCTATGGCGCGCAGTCACAAAGCTAAGCGTGACACCCGCCGTTTCCTAATGGTCATCGCTTTGATACGGAGATCGTTTTTCCTTCGTGGCGCCGAATTGACGGCTTCGCGCTGTGTGTATCGAAGGTTTTTTCACCGTGGAAAGCGTCAGTTTTCTTCGGTAGAGGTGATACACTTATCCTTTCACAAGAACAAGATATCCATGATATTACACATCGTATTGTGACGTATCTTACATTCAGAGACCGAGGGAAAATATATGCAAATATATATTCCAAGAATTGTATAATGCCAGAAATGAAAACAAATAATATTAAAATTTTATACTGGAATACAAACGGGCTGAAAAGGCAAGAAAATGGGTTCAGATTTTTCCATTCAAACTGGACAGTAGAGATTGCAGGCATCACCGAAACCCATCTCGTGGGTAATTTAAAATTTAACACTCCACGGTATGAAATGTACAGGAAGGATAGAGCAGCAGAAAAGGCTTCTGGGAGAGTAATATTAATAATAAAAACCAGCATTCAACATCATGAACTAATTATACCGTACTCTGGTGACTTCGAAACTGTCGGTGAAACTGACG